TAGTCAACACCACCATCCGCCAGCTCTTGGGATACTCTTTTACTAACGAATAGTGGGATTGATCGTCACATTATAACGCCCCCACGGCTGAAAGGGCAAGCATGTTTGGTGGGACAAGGATTCGAACCCCGAACATCAGATTGCGAGTCGAGCAATCTAACCACCTGGCCATGCCGGGCCCATTAACTATAGAATATAGTTTATATAAAACTAATGAAAACATATAATATTAAAAATAACAGTAACAAAAAATATAATTTAACACGCATGAGAAATTTTATTTATCTATATCACATCGTATAATTTACATAAAATATAGATCACATTAACAAAAATAATAAAAAGGCTTACTTTGAGATGTGTCAGCAAGTCAGAAGTGGTTTTTCCTGAAGTAGAAATAACCCACTCACTTCGCCTTGATGTGACCAGATCTAGCAGTTGGAAGTATGAAGTGTTCATGTGCAACTAAAGGCAGTTTAGTAGCCAGCTCAAATTCTCTCATGTGACTTGACTGGGTTAATAACCATGTAATACAATAACTTTAAAGGTGGTTGGAGAGAATTGATCTGATTTCACCCTCTCGCCATGGGCATCCTTTGTCACGATGATTTTAGTAAGTTACATTCAAAATTTGATTAAACTACCTTTTCTTCATGTTATACCAATTATAAAATCGTAGCTAATAATCCCTATTTTAATATTATATACTTTTCAATTTCTTAATTTTATAAGGTTATATAAAAAATCCTGAATTTCCCCTAGTGTGAGAATTTATTTATCACCTCCCCCCCCCCCAAGAATTACGAAATTTAACGTAAATTACTTATTATAATGTGGTAATCTCTCAGGCAAAGCATAATTTTTATAGCGATCAATTTTGTTTGGTTACATAGCCATCAAATAGAAAATCAGATCTCTCTTGCCACACCCACCTGTCACACCCTCTCATTCGTGATTTGTCAATAGTTCGCTCTACGTTCAATACTATATTATACTATATACTGTATAAAGTTTACATCTATCATATGACGTATTATATTACGTTGTTTTCTGTACAGTACAAACTTCGCTCCCAAGGGAAAGTTGCTCGTGGGAACGAAGCTTCTACTTAAAGAGAAATAAACGTGCTGCAGATGTGATAATGACAGTCTAAAAATTATATGAGTACAAAACTTGACATTTAATTTTATAATATTAAGTAGTCACTAAATCATTCAGCGAATACGAATGATATGCCATTGAATTCGAATACGAATACTTTAATTTTTTAAATCAAAGTATTCGAATACCAGTACGAATACTCTCAAAGCTGTATTCGAATACGAATACCCCATGTCTGCTATAGAATAACCTAAATGAATTTAGGTATGTGAATAATGTTATGACATTACTTCTAAATCTTTATTCGCAGGCTTCTTTTCTTGCTCACCAAAGGAAAAATTGAAAAGAGGTTGGGTCAACTGATGAACTTTGAATAGGAGAAACTGCAGTCCATGGCAAAGGATATGGCCAATCAAGGAATGTTTTAAGCCTCTACGTCACAGATTCTCTTTTCAATTTTACTTTTGGTGAAAAAAAAAATAAGTAAGTAATATATCTTTATAGATATAGATAGAATATATAAGCGTTTGTGGTTTGGTTTGGTTTGAATTTAGCTCAAAGCTACACCGGGAGCTATCTGCGCTAGCCGTCCCTAATTTAGCAGTGATAGATTAGAGGGAAGGCAGCTAGTCAACACCACCCACTGTCAACTCTTGAACTATTCTATTACCCATGAATAATGGGATTGACGGTCACATTATTACGCCCCCACAGCTGAAAGGGTGAGCATGTTCGGTGTGACGGGGATTCGAACCCGCGACTCTCAGATTGCGAGAAACGTTTGTAACGATCATCTTGAGTTCTACGTATATTTTACGAGTATAGAAAAGACTGTTTGATGTGGTTCTTCTGTGACGTCAACTACTAGATTAAACTACAAAACGTACAATAATAACAATAAAAGCAACTTATCAGGCCAGAAATTGATTTTTTTTCTTTTTTTTTTGGAAAACACTAGTCTACAAAACTTACACCGAGTTAATTGCATTGTCATTATCATAACTGGCCAACTAGCGGCCCGCAGGCTGAATCCAGTTCGCGAAGGTACTATATTCGGCCTCTGATTTTTTTTTTAACATATTTTCATTTTCCCCAAACTGGCAAAATTAAACCTGAAAAGTAAACTGTGACCAAGCCAACCATTGTCGTGACTGTTCTAAGAACTTTCTTCAAATGCTAACTCAGTTACTTATTCAAAACCATGTAATTAATTGAAGTCTATACAACTTTTAGATTCTTGGAAGCAAGTATTCTGGATGTACTTTACCCGGTCATATAGCTTCGGACCCAAGACCACAGTCGAGGTAAGAAATAGGCCCAAGAGTAATATCAACCACACCTTTTTTTTCTTCTCGTTTGGGATATTTGTAACAGTAATGGTGCTTAGATCTTTCTTTTATACATTCGAGTTTTTGTTTTGCTTTTACTTAATATGAGCCTCTGATCAAACCAAGCTACTTACATGTATCAAAACTAAAAATGTATACCTGGTAAGGAGCATTGCTAATTAAATATAACGCTCAAATTATATCTCTCATAATGATTAGAATGCATTGTTTCATCAGTTGGGTGCTCTCGCTTTTAACGACATTTTCGGCCATAAACCCAATAATATCTCATTAGCTTTAGTCAGCCTTGGAGATATAAGTTAGTCCTAAATCTCTAAACTAAGCTAACAATGTGAAATAATTTTCATCATTAATGTAACAAAATCAAAATTAATACAATATAGAATAATCATTTTTGTAAAATGGTAAACATTGAAAATAACCTTAGAAATAATTAAAAATGAAAGTAGATAAACAAAATAAAGAAAAGCAGATTTCTTAAATATTCTAGCCAACACTGTGCCTTACAATGATTATTAACTCAGGACTAGTAATCTAGCAAAAAAAACTTCAATATGGAATACATATGTAAATAAAAGTTTTTCCTAAATTTTGCAGTATAAAATATTTCTCTTTCATATTCATTACAGGCTAAAACTGTTTATATATCACAGTTTTCAAGTCATTAACGTTTTAATTTTTAATAGTGTAACTAGCTAGTTATCATCAATATTCCAGTAACATTACTGTTATGAGGGTTGTCGAAATCATTCGTGGCCCGACCTAAAAAAAAATGATTGTAGGATTTTTTCTGATAAATATTAAGTTTATATCTTATTATAAGTAAACAACACGTAATATATATAACTTAATGTGTGTGTTGCGATTTCTTGAAGGAAAAAAGTGGGCAGTGTTAAACATCATGGGAAAGATCGAACTTCGTGCCGTGATTAAATATTTTGCTAAAAAGAAAATGATACTGCAAAAAACTCCACCAGGTTATGAAAGCAACATTAGTAGACGGTGCTACGGTATATACAACAGTGAAAAAGTCGTGTGCCAAACTTAAGCGCGGTATACGATCATATAAAGATGATCTGAGGTCTGATCGGCCCTCGACATCGACCACAACAGAAACTGTAGATAAAGTTCATGATTTGGTTATATATATAGTAGAATAATTACCATTAGGAAGTTGTCAGGTAAAGTGGGAATCAGTAAAAGTACTGTAGCAATATTTTTAAGGACAGTTTAGGCATGAGTAAGGTTTATGCCAGATGGGTTTCTAAACTGTTGGTACCTGAGTAGAAACGGATCCGAGTTGTTGAAAGCCAACGCTTACTCTAAAGGATTCAATAGATTCGTAATTATGGATGAAACGTGGGTTCATCATTCCACTCAGAGACAAAAATGAAAAGTTTTCAACGGAAACACCCAAGTTCACCTACCATAAAGAAGTTCAAGTCATAATCCTCTGCTAGGGATGCCAACGGAGATTTACTAGTTCATTATTTGGAAAGTGGTTAAACCGTTACAGGAGATTACTATGCATCCTTTATGAACATTTAACGTCAAGGAATCAAAGAAAAGAGGATTGCTCAAAAAAATGCGCTCTTCCACTGGGATAATTCCCCAGCTCATAAATAGCGTATTGCTTTGAACGTTATCCACAATGCTGACTTCGAGTTGCTCAATGAACCTTTTACTCACCTGATTTAGTTCCAATTGGTTTTTCTTCGTTTCACTAACCTTAAAGGTCGAAGCTTTCAGAGTGATGATGATCTCGTACATACCGTCCAGTCATGGGTTGGTGACCTAGAAGAAAAGTTCTTTCAGATGGCCATAAAAGCTTTAGAGCACAGCTGGCACAAGTGTATAGACTCAGGGGGAAATTATACTCTAATAAATCGGGGGGGGGGCACTGCTCCGTAGTTCGAATGCGAGCTATTTTTTGAGTCTCTTTCTTATACATCCAAATGTAGATCGATGGAATTGTAATCATGCCTCTAATCTACAATGCTTTGTATAAAATGAAATGTTTATCATTAAATGGAAGCACTCTGACCTTACATGTATTGGTGTTTACAATAACGTAATTCGAGCATTGACTTTACGAATTTCTAATTAACTAATAAACACGGTCACCATATTAAATCATCTGTTTGATAATTAGATGCTCTGTAGTAGGATGGGGGGGGAGTGGGTAAGGAAGTTAATTTTCTACCACACCAAACAACCAGTATTTTTAACTTCTGCTACTGAAGTTGACTGGTCTTATAAATACTAACTTGAAAAAAAAATTATGCTTCATATTTCATGCTCCCAGTGGCAAGTCTAAAGGCTTATAACCCCAAAAAAACAGGTTTCGATACCCCTGGTGGGCACAGCATAGGTCGTCCATTTGTAGTTTTGTGCTTACCAACAAACAAACAAATCATGTTTCACTCTGATTACTTAGTAGGGGCTTGTACAAGAGGGAAAGCAGGAACCCAGCCCCGACCCTAGTAACTTTATACATACGGACTCGAATTTAAATTTCCGCGCACGGCCCTGGGGTATAGGTCTTTTTTTTTCTTTTGTTGATAAGCACAAAGGGACATCTGTACGATTTTAGCGTGATAAACCCTCAGACTTACTGCTTAGCCACTGGGGGGGGGGGGGCTTAGGTCTAAGGCTTTGGTTGTTATGTCACTGCATTCTCCCACTAAGTCATTGTGGTGTGTTAATTGGCTATAAGTGAGGAGCGTGTATTAGATATATGGTGTCACTCCATTAAAATAGTGTATTTGCGTTGCTAGTAGCGCCACACTGTGGCGGCATTATTACTTATTGATGTGTGCTCTTCATTTCGATGAAAACCAGTTTATGAATGCAATGCGTAAAAAATTAGTATCAAATGCTATTCTCACAGTATCTAATGTGCCAAAGACACCCAACGTAATAGAGTGATGAAAGAAAGCCTTTGTCTGCCAAGAGGTTCCTGCTCTGTTAATCAAATGCTTCTCCAGCAAAAAAAACAAAAACAAAATAGAAGATATATACATGACAACCCCCAGTTTTTGCCTCAACTTAATGTTACTGCATATTTAGCTGGATACATTTTAAAGAAAGTACCGGTTAATTAAGCAATATACCATGAACAAACTAAAATTACAAAATCTGAAACGTTTAAGTGCATAAAACAAAGTGTATATGTTCAACAGTACTTTATTATACAAAAGAGTATTTAAAATAATGCTTTTTAACTATACATTAGACCTGAGAGCTAATCAGACATCTGATTAGTGTAAAACTTATAAATGCACCAATTTCACAAGTTTTCTGTTCCTTTTGTCTGTTGTCCAAATTAAACATTTTCACAGTATGATGTAATTGAATTGTATTTTTATATAAAACATGATTACTTTTTAGATATTTTCAATATAATGGGTTTTTCCGCATGAAATGATATCCTGATATAAAGGTTTGTTTTATGCACTTTTATACAATTCAACGTTTCAGATTTTCATAATTTTAGTTTGTTCATCGTATCTTGCTTACGCTCAACATCAAACACGTACTTATACAAGCGAAGATATGGTACATACTAATAATAAATAGCCTAAAATATTCCAACTATGATAAAGTAGCACTTGAAGGGCAAAACTAAACAAAAACAAAAAGAAGCTGTTCTATAAAGAGCCTGTTAAGTGGATATCCAATTAATTATGGCGGTTACTAGATGGCACCACCGACAATACAGTTACATAAGGTTTATGGAGGAGTAACACCTCTAATCTATTACAAGCTCTTTGCTATAGGTTTGTTTTGGTCTTTATGGTCATTTTATGTTTCTAATTATTAATTACAATAACGTTACATTTTCTCTACACTCTATGGTCGATAATAGTATTTTGTCTGCCCATCACTTACCAACGCTACCGAAAAACCAGTACAGAGCCGGCAGATATAAATTATCAATGAGAATACAGTTGAAATAAAATTATCATCGTTTTACACTAAAAATAATTTTATATAACATAAAACTCCAAATGGGTGCACTTCTTTACCTAGAACGACGTCTTAACAATCAGAAACGCACCCTAAAATGTAAACCGTAAAATTATGAAAAGTATTTTGTATTTTAATAGTTACAGTTGAATTATTCGTGACACATAAAGAACAAGCAGGACGAGGAAAACCACGTATATCATAATTCATTAAACTGTTACCATAGTACGTTTAGGAGTTTTTTGCACTGCCATCCTTGGAATGAACGTATTATTCTATTTTGCTTGTGCAACTGGTATACTAGTCTTCCACAACAGAACTATATGACACCAGCCAGAATGGCTCCAGGAAAAGTGAACTCCATAAGTGTATGTGGGAAAAGAAGTCAAAGTACTCTCATCTACACAAATGGAGTTCTGTGGTCTAATATGCACAAAGTCTAGTATATCAGTGCTGTGTAATATGATTATAGAGCCTATGCTTGAAATGGGCAGTTTTTCTGTCCCGAAAGGGAGCAGCATCAGCTCAGAAAGTTATCTGTTTGTGGAGGATAAAGTCTCAGTGTTATTCTGAAATTATGGGTGATTGGGTATCCAGCTGCATGCTAGGATGATCATTTGCATGGTAAGCAAAGTGAAAGTAACTGATACTAGTGGTAATGCTAGGGTTGTGTTCATAATGATGCATCCTAAAGTAAATACATGGATACCAACACATTTCAGATTGCTAGTTATGATTATGCTGGCAATCAAGGTTCAACACAGTCGAAACAATTTGGTGACTTGTTGCCAAAACGTTCTGATGTACTTATGGCATCAGATGATGAGTTTGGTCAGACAAAGTCACACAACGAGACATAGATACAAATGATGCACATTTTATTGAACAACTGCTGCACAGGTTTCCATGGAGCACTGGAGATGTAACAAGCACTGAGGTACAGGATCATTCAACCCTTAGTGACTGCTTAGTCGTTTCTACTAGTTA